AAATAAGTATCACATATTGTTCCTGTCAACATCTGTTTCAAGAACTAAAAGAAGAAAAAAAAACAAATAACATTAATTGGTTCATTCTTACGTCCAATCAAGTGTCTAATCGATCATAAAAATAGTATTGCGCTAGATTCTGGAATAGAAACTTGTTCCCTATTACTTTCACAAGACAATCATTCCATTTTTCAACTAACTATACCATATTATGGTAGCTGTCAGTACATTTTCTGTGAAATTAAAATATGAAACACGATTAAATGACGTTTTTTGTAAATGAATACTTTTGTGAAATATCTGATATGCCATTACACAGTTAATAATGTTGGTGTATGTGTTTTTTTGGTAGAAAAGGAAAATCCTATTTATAATGTGATATGATGCATGCAGAATAGTGATGAATAACAGTCATAAAAGACGACGCAATAGTAATGGCGGAATACGTCGGTCTTTATATTGTACTAGTGACCATGTTCTACTAGAAAGGGAGGTTTTTGATTATTAACTATGAAATTTTCTTGCGTTTCATCCTAGATATGATTATATTGATCATATACTGATAAACAAAATGACACAAGAAAAATGAGATATATTCGGAAAAATATAGGCATTTTTCATAAGATGCAAAGTAACTTTGCCAAATGTTGACCACTAGATCTCATCGAGATATACGTGTTGATCGATGAATTTTCACTTCTGTTGATAGAAAGCGTTCTCCTCTTCAGCACTATATATATGATCTCTATTTGTCATATATTCATAAACAAAATAATAAGAGAATGAACAAAGATTTGCATAATAAAGATGCAATTTCAATATGGAATAATCAGAAACATCTGACGAACATCAGTAGCTTTTATTTTTTCTAAACGAATGAACCATTTTTTTAAAGACTATAGTATTTCGGTCTTTATTAGTTTTTCGTAACCATCTTGTAAACCAATAGTTAGTTCTAATTGAGTGTCATGTGACAAAGTCTTCTTGACAAGTATTTTTAAAAAAAGTGACATGATTATGGAAGTGTTTCTTTTCTCACAAATATTTTATAAATATACACCCAAGATGAAAACAAAATATCGTGTTTACACGAGCAACCGAATTCCTTTGAATTAGTACAAAGATTGATGTCTTATAATCTGTCAAAGGAAGAGATTTGTATTCAACAATATTTTGGATTGTCAGTTTAAGAAAACGTGATGGTTCATCTTCTACTTGTCTCGCTTTCTTCTCGCATCATCTTGTTCAGATGTATGAGAGAAACAGGTAGCTATGCACTGTTTGAACTAAGTGAACTTTTCCTATGTCTCCAACAAGAGTTTTTCTCACTTTCTTTTACCCTACACCGCATGAACCACGATTGTTTATCACTAACATAAAGAGCAGAAGAGATGTTGATCATTGACTTTATAGAATTCAAAGCTTTTTATCTGTATTTTATCACAAAAAGAATGATAAATATTGAAAAATGTTAGTTTCAAATTAACTCTTTTAGGACTGTAGAACACTCTGTATCCCACGGTCCTCAAAGGGTTAATTTGTGATCAATGAACATACTACCGAAATGTGCTATGCAGCTCTTAATAATTCATTGTTTCGATATTCATTTCTAATTAATTGAGTGGAACTAGCAATGCTTAATGTGTAGAAGTTTCTTCTCTTCAGAACATAAAGTTCTTACCTTTCAGTTTGATCTAAAATCTTTGAGAAATTCTCGATCGTATATGACAACGATCATAAGAATATGGATTCATTTGAGTTATTTTGAAAAGAGTTACCATTTGGGCATTCAAAACTCACTGTTATTTCAAATAATTTCTTGCAAATTAATGTGTCATTCATTCGAAAAAACATTCATTTAGAATATCCAAGTGAAATGACCTGACAAGAGAAGATAGGCTATTTCTTTCAATTAGGTTAATGCAATACTTTAAGGCAGAACAGTAAGTAACAAAGATTCTTTTAGTTTCTTTCACAAGAACTATCAAATTTCGATGAGATTTTTTATTAGAAACTATTCAGTTTTATACGATTTAGCTGCTGGAATAATTGAATACATCGACTTGCAACAAACGATCTCAAGAGTTGTAAAAGTTCTAAGCTTTGATATAACAAAAAATTAAGTTTTTTTCGTTATGGCATTTAGTAAATGGCAGACGACTAGCTTCTATTCGAGCAAGAAAGATTGTTTGTAAAAATTAGACGAAGACACCATAATTAAAAGAATCAGCAAATCATGCAGCTTGTACACAATTATAATCAACAGATTTTTAAGATGACTAAATCATTTTGTATGAAAAGATGTCAAGAATGTATTACATCTAGATAAAATACATTCGATTTTTCATTATCATAAAAACAAGATTTCAAACCATATTCAAGCTTCTATGAAACAACATTCTAAACAACTTATTCTTCTTCCTCTCCCTCGGCGCTAGAAGAAATATCAATATAAAAATGTATTCAATGCAATTTGAACAATATTGTACTGCTATTTACTTTCTTCGATGGTTTTTCATCTTATAGAATTAGACATATATCTTCAATTAATGTGAATCGAAACTGTGGAAAGTCTCTTATTGAGAAAAAATTCAAGGTGATCACGTTGTACATTGTAACTTACTGATTAGCTAGTCGACATACATGAAAAAAACTTTCGAATTTCTGCATTTGAACGCGGTTTTGTTCATTAAAAATGCAACTGAACTACTGAACAATGTGTTTCTTACGATATATTTTATTCGTTTAGCAATGCATTTCATCCCCTCAAAAAAGTCTTTTTCTATGTGTCCTTCTATTTAAATTACTTCCTCATATTTACACTGTTTTATTGCATGTTTTTGAATTATGTCTATGCCAGAAGTTCTAACGATTTCAGCAAATATATTTCGTTACCAGTACAGCAAAAATCGAAGTATATACAACTATATATTATTTCTAAAGTATTGTATTCGTTCCAAGAAATATTGTCTCATGGTAAACATAGAAAATACATAACGGGTGATAGAAAAGTTTTTGGACAAAATATTTGTTCACTTTTGACCAGCTAGAAAGTATTACGGACGAGTCAAAAGCTATGAGTTAGAACCAGAATTTTGTGCTCTTTTAGAAGATGGATTCAGAAATTTTGTCTCAGTTTTTGTTCAAGAACAGTGAAATAATCTTTGACAAGTCCCAAAAAATTAGTTGGGACGGAGCTTGTCGGGCGAAGTATACGGTAAAGATGTTTGTTCAATTTGGTCTGCTTGAAAGCATTTCGGACGAGCCAAAAATTATAGATGATGACTAAAATTTTGTGCTCTCTTTGAATGAGGGCTTAGAAATATTGTATCTATTTTTTGGTCAAGAGCAGTGAGGACCTTTTTGAAATGCCTGAAAATTTATTACTCTTTTTTTAATGATGAAGCAACACGGTTTTGTTCACCTCATAAGTTTCTTTTCGAACATGCTAAAAATTGTTTGAGTCAGTCGTTTTGTAGAGCAAACACTTCTCTGCAAAGTGTGATATTGCACTAAGCTGCAGCTTTTACCCAACTGTAGTCACAATCATTTTGTCAAGACCTCATTTCCGCGTGAAACAGTTTTGGTCAAAAAGTCGGTTTTTCCAAAAATAAATATTTAGGAAAAAGACAAATTGAGGTGCTTTGTCGAAAGACAAAAAATCTCAAATAGTGCATTTTGTAGAGCAGCTTCTGATCTACAAGCTGATGTATAAATAAAGATCCCAACTATTCGTTTCGAATTGTAATAGTGAAAATACAAAAGTGTGCGGAAAAATTCTCCGTCCCAACTAATTTTTTGGGACTTGTCAAAGATTATTTCACTATTCTCGAACAATAACTGGGACAAAATTTCTGAATCCATATTCGAAAAGAGCACAAAATTTTGGTTCTAACTCATAGCTTTTGACTCGTCCGTAATACTTTCTAGCTGGTCAAAAGTGAACAAATATTTTGTCCAAAAACTCTTCTATCACTCGTTATATGCAGTGAAATTCATTCCTATCAGTATATTATGGTATAACATCAGTCTATATCGGTATTTCGTCTATTCTTTTCTTTCTTGCAGTTATTGTGATTGTTTACTTCTTTTCAAACATTTTCCATTGACAATCAGAAACATTGAAACTAATTCGTTTGTTTATTGCACTGAAAGGACCTATCTCTTATACACATATGGAATTATGTTCTACTATAATATACTGGTAGGAATGAATTTCACTGCATATATGACTTTGCTATGTCTACCATCAGACAATATTTCCAGGAACGAATACGATACTTTAGAAATAATATGTAGTTGTATGTATGCAATAAGTAGTGAAAAACTGTTTTGACTACAACTTTTTATTGGATCAGCCTCAGCCGATAATTCTTTCGTACTTGACATCAGAGTAATTGGTTTAGGGAAACTATGCAACATCAGCTGAAATCTCAAGTACACACTCAGGAATCTTTCCTTGTTAGCCTTTCGTTCAACTGTAATAGAGCGTTCGACTGTGTTACCTATATTTTAACTTTCGCTTCATAGACTATGATGTATCTTTTCTGAAACCTTTAGAATTTTTAGCACGCAAATTACTAAAAAACGTTCAATAGCATGGTGTAGAAATGACAAAATAATTGATACAGATAAACGAATTCAATTTCATTATGGCATTATAGAGTCGTCAATAATAGATAAGATCCATCAAAGACAACGAGAAAAGCGAACATAGTACTATAATAAGATTTCTCACATACTATGAGTATTACAAATGAATCAAGAAATCTGATAGGTATATCCACGTAGCAACACCAATGATTTTTTTATTCATTTTTCATTCCATTAGTGTGTTTGAATCCTAACTTAATTTGGTTGTAAAGTGATAGCAAACAGATAGATATATAAAAAACAGGAAAACAATAGGAATGAAAGATTATGGTTCATATCAGTATTACCCACAAATAGTATTAGCAGAAAAGGAAAACTTTTATATGTAAAAATGTATTGTTCACCGAGAGAATAGATTAATTATTTATACATATTTTTGAGCTTTTATTTGGTAACAAACTAAAAGTATTTTTCGATGGACTCTAAATGAAGTCAATAATAAAAAAATAAAAACTAAATAAAAATTTAAGTAAACTATTGTGAAGATGATAAACAAATATGCATTAATTTTTTGTCTTCTAAAATCTAATGTCTTCAAATGAAATGAAAATATCATAAAAATAATCCTCTCAGTAATGATCACTAAAAGCCTTGGTTAAAAATGAATAAATGCACTCTATGACTCGTTACATGAGAATAACTTAACATAGTTGTCATTTTGATATCGTCTTATTTATAGATTTTTCAAATAGCTTAACAGATTTTCTTAATGAAGGTAAATTTGTTCTATTCATTGATGTTTATCCTTGCTTTTACACAATTATTTTTTTCTTTTGAAGTATTCAAATACATTTTGCTATGCTACAATAAAAAAGTACATTTTAAAAATACATCAAGCTGGTCGCTATAATTCTGAGTGTCCTACTGCGAGATATCTATTTTACCGTTAGTCTATTCTTACTTCGTGAAACAGTTTTTTACTCTAAATACTAATTCGAGTATTCTTTTTACTTATATGTGAAATAACTCATTTTCTTCTTAAACAAATCTACTAGAAAAATAACTTTCTTATGCGCTATTCAAAAATAGTTTTCTTCGTAGAAGAAGAAAACATAAACGCATTGAAACATGCGATAGTAAACACAGTCAAAAAATGTTTCAGTTGCCACTCCTTGAGAAAGAATGCGCTTTTTTTTCACAAGTACATCCCAACGGTGTTTTTAGATGACTTGTTAAGTTGAAAAAACGCTTTATAGATAAAAATGATGTATTAGGACCAATGAAGTAAAATTTTGCTTTTAATCACGAAAATACGATTTTTTTCCTCAAAGTTGTCGCTCAAATGACATTTTGTTCAACACTTTTTCTCATTGAAACTAGCAATACTGTTACGTTTTATTTACGTTGATGTGTATATGATTGTTTTAAGATATTATTTAAATATTTTTCTCAGGTATTTTTTGCTGAATTAATAACAGCAACTTCTGCCACTCATAGTCAATTAAAAATAATTTCTCTCTCATAGAATTACATCAGTACATATATAAAGTAGTCACGCATTGCCAACTGCGCAATAAATTTTAGTTGAAGGTTAAGAACAACGTTTTCTTGACTTCTACAAGAATAGAAAAAAAAAGAATAAAAATAGACGAGAAAGAGAACGAATGAGAGTTGTTAGATGAGAGACAACGAAACCACAGGAACAAGACAAAAGTACACTAGGAAAAAACACTTGACAGAAAAATAGAAAAGACGGATACTATAAATCATATATGTATGAAATAAAAGAAAAAGAACGAATATATATAGGTACTACATATAACATTTTTTCTTATGGCACATCTAACATATGTACCATAACAAACACCGACCTGAATTCGGTTTTAGTAATAAACTGAACTGACACATAGCACGGAGAATTCAGTTCAAAATTTTTCACTATAATGCTACTATTTACTGAATATACTATCATGAAATATTATATTATTTCAAAAACTTAAAGTATTTTTCCACGTTTGCTGTTGAGTGTTGAGTATGCTGTTATGTCTTATTTTTTGTAATGAAGACTTTTTTATCTACTTTTTTTTGATCAAATATCATTCCTCATGTCTTCTGGATTGCATTATTTTTTTAGTACATAGTCGTCATTTGTTTTCAGTCGAAGTTTATTTAGTAAATAAGAATATTGACGAGCACACTGCATTGGTAATCATTCACATATTTTCTTCGTATAAATCTCATTATTCATATCAACAAGAATAGTTGGACATTAGAAGTATCGTTGACCAATGTGGAAACTTGCATGAATGCCTGTGATTCAGTCGTCGATAACTAAGGTACGCTCTGTGTCTGTTATGATTGTATCAATCATACGGCTACGGATTTGGCTCTGAGAAATCGAATTTAACATAGTAATTAAATCTACAGCGTCCTTTACAAGCCGAGTAAATCGAAGCACTGCTTCTTTAAATCCATATAGATATATCAAATATTTCCATAACATCGTTACATATGCATTCTGAACATGAACAAGATTGATTGAACTGTACATAATTGTAACATCTACTTGATTATCATATTTAATAATCGAGCAGCTACTTGAAAAAGCTAATATAAATATGAAGATTTTAATAAGACTTCCATTTGGATCATATCGTGCAATATTTCGACGACACTCTGTCATATATTCACATCCGTATAGCTGATTGTAAGCATTGAGAACAGTCATATTATCGAATACATTTAGCTCACGGCATAAAAAAAATCCACTCGTCACGCCAGTTACGTACAAGTTATGCTTAATAAGAACTTGACGACCATCAACCGGTAAAGAATGAAAATCTGATGAACGTTCGATAAGCGGTCCAACACTGCTATAAAGCTCGCGCATTAGATTCACAATTTCAGATGGTTTCGATCGCAACTTCGGTGGTAATGAAGATAATTCATTAAGAAAATTTTGAATACGTGTGTAACAGTTTTGCTCATCAAATGCATAAAGACAATTTGAAAGAAGAGTCCATTCATTAGTTGTTAATGTTGAGCGATCATTTTGAAGAAGACCAAGTGGTAAAGGCTATTTAAAAAACAAATTATTATCAGAAAATACTTAAAATATAATAGTACCACAGGCAACTGAAGCCGTTTATCTTCTTTCGTTTTTACTCGTTGGTTTTTCTTGGAAACAGGGCCGGAATCAGAAAAATATCGAATTAATGTTGGATCCATTCCGAATTCGAAACATTTCTTTAAACGACAAGGTGAACAGTAACTGCGTGTTCTTTTTGTTATAGGACAGTCACTTTCAAATTGACAAAGTGATATAAGCTATTCAATTTGTTGAGAAAAAATTCTACATTTTCTTTATTAATATAGGTTAAACTTACTAATTTCTTATGTGCATGTCGACGAAAAAACGATTTACAAGACATACACGAAATAACATTGAAATTATGACCACGCGCTACATCACCGCATATACGGCAATCCTCGAGAGATTTAGATATTGTATCCGCTACTCTTTCTCTTCTTGACATCATTAAGGAAAGAAAGTTTGAAAAGAATGTTGAGATACTTAACCTATGCTATTTTTTTTTTCTCAAGAAAGTGTCATTCAGCATTTCTCTCTGCGCACGCACATGTCTTTATTAAATGAAACCTTAGAACAAAAAAAAATAAAAAACAATATACCCATTGGTTTATGAGTGAATCCAATAAAATATTGTACTAGTTTATTTGAGATAGAGCACCTTCAGCTTCCCGCAGTGCTATGTGTGCAAATCATACCTCTTCTATGTTTAAAGTAAACTAATACCTATATGAAACATGATTATGTTACTTTTTTTGTAAATAAAGACATTTTTGAAATATGTCATTCCATTATACAGTTATTAATGTCCGTGTAAATGTTTCTTTGATAAAAAAGGAAAATCTCAATTATAATATGACATGATGCATGTAGATAGTGCTGAATGAAGATCATCGAATACGACGCTACAGTAGTAGTGCAATATGTCGATTATTACGTTTCATTAATAAACACGTCCTCCAAATGACATTTTTCTTATTATTAGATATGAAACTTTCTCTTCTTTCATGTCATATATCTTTGTATTAATCATAAACTAATAAGTAAAAATAATATCAGCATAAATAGAGACATCCAAAAAAATATTCGCACTGTTCAAAAGATGCCGAATAATGGTTTCAAATGTTTACCTCTAGATCTGCTCGATTGGCACGTGTTTGACAATAATTTTTCGATCTGTTGATAGAGAATTTTCTCCCACTTCGATCTATATAGGAGTTGTTTTTGTTAACACATTCATGAATAAACTAACAGTAGAAGAAAGAAACATTTGCACAATAAAGATGTGAGTTTCACATAGACTCATGAGAAAGAGCTTATGAACAGATCGAATGTTACTTTTTCTATACTCATCAAAAAATTTTTGTAACACAATAGTCAAGTATATGTTGATCAATTTTTTGAAAACTATCTTGTAAACTAGTAGTTAGTACTAATTGAGTGTCATCTAGCACAGTTTTCTTGACGAATCTGTATAAAATACACGACCTAATTAAACAAGTGTTTTGTTTTCCCACATTGCACAATGATATTCAGCAATTCGAAAATAATTCTCGAATAGAAACTGAGGTATATTTTATTATTTGTTCGCTTTAATTCATCATATTTTTTCATTGTATTATCTCTTTTGATATTTCTATTAAAGAAATGAACATTGACATACAAAAAGCACTTTTATTTGACCAAGTTTTAATTATTTCTTGTTCTTTTAATTAATATATTTGAATAGTTCTTGTTTGAAACTCATCATATCTCAGAAACATGATTAAGTATCACTAATCTCTGTGAGAACCATCTAGCAGATAATTTTATATATTGTAAAGAAACGACTGAGCTTAATCTATAGAGAACTTTTTAATTAATAAGTAGAAAACAATATTATATCTGTAAAAACACTTATCCAATCAAAATACTGCATGTTCTAATTTTCTTTTCGACTCAATTTCATTATGGCATTCTAGGGTTGCCAATTATACATAAGATACATGAAACTAAAATAGAAATATGCACATAGATCCATAATAAAGTCTCTAATACACTATGAGAATTAAAAAATGAATCAAGAAATGTCATTGGTGTTTCTGGGTAGCAATAACAGAGGCATTGCTCAGTGCACTTTTAATGCGCACTGTGTTTTTGAGACCTAGTCAATATCATTGTAAAGCAACAGCAAACAGAAAGAAATATAAAGAAAAAAAAAGGAAAACAAGCATGAAAGATCATGGTTGTTATTAGCATTCCTCACAAATCGTATCTTACCAATATGAAAAACTTTATATGCTAACATGTATTGTTCGCTAAAATAATGCTATTTACATGTACATATATTCGAGCTTTTATTTAATGTCATACTGCGAGGTGTCTGCCTAAACGTCAGCAGACAATCTTTTCATTTCGTGAAATGGTAGTTTTACTCAAAACATTAATCCGAATATCTATTTATTTATATGTGAAGTAACTCATGTCTTCTTAAACAACACATTACAAAGACAGCATTCTAATACATTATTAAAAAAATAATTTTCTTCGTGGAAGAAGGAAATCTAGAAGCATTGAAACATAAAAACAAGTAAACGCATTCGAATGCTGTTTCAGATAACATTCATTGAGAAGAGAAAAACACTTTCTCACAAAAACGTTAGAGGAGTATTTTTAGATGGTGATGAAAGTTGAAAAAAACGGTTTATAAATAAAAAAAACTGTCTCTAGATGCATTGGAATAAAGAAATACGTCTAAAAGCAAAAATAAGTTTTTTTTTTGAAGTGGTCGTTCAAACACAGTTTTGTTCAATATATTTTTTTTTGTATGAGAACTACCAAGACTAACTCAAATTCGTTTGTAGTAATAAACTGAACTAACACACATTAGGTGGAATTCAATTCAGAATTTTCGATTTTAGTTCTATCATTTACTGGAAATTATTGTCATGAGATATGATTTTTTTTTTGAAAATTTTCAATATATTTCGATGCTTATTTTACTATTATAGGTTTTATTTTTACTAATAAAGACTCTTTTTCTGTTATTCTTGATTGAACGTCATTGCACATTTCCTCTTGGTTTAGTTTTAATCTTTAATGTGTACTTATTCTTTATTGCTAGTTTAACTTTATACAATATAAAACGATACTGACGAAGACACGACACTGATAATTATGGACATATTTCTTTTGTACAAGTATCCTTAATTATAATGACGAAAAGAATTAGTATCAGACGAATGTGTGACCAATGTGAGAAATTAAGTAAATGTATGTAAATTCAGTCACTGGTCACCAATATACGTTGCGTGTCCGTGAGTATTGTATCATGCATACGGTTACGAGTTTCGTTCTGAGGCATTGAATAACCATATTAATTATATTTAGAATATTTTTTACAAGCTGAGTAAATCGAAGTACTGATTCGTTAAATCCATACAGATATAACAAGTATTTCCATAACATCGTAACATATACATTCTGAATACCAACAAGATTGATTGAGCTTGACATAAGTGTAATGTCTACTTGATTCTCATATTTAACAATTGAGCAATTACTTGAAAAAGCTAATATAAATATTAAAACTTTAATAAGACTTCAATTTGGATCATATCGTGCAATATTTCGACGGCACTCTGTCATATATTCAGCTCCAGACAGCTGATAGTAAGAATTGAAAACAGTGATACTATCGAATATATTCAGTTCACGACACAAAAAGAGTCCATTTACAATGCATGTGATGTACAGATTATGATTGAGAAAAATTCGACGATCACCAACTGATAAAGAATGAAAATCTGGTGAATGTTCCATAAGTGGCCCAACAGTGCCATAAAGCTCACGAAGAAGATGCATGAGTTCGGGCGGTTTCAAGCGTAATTTTGAAGGTAATGTAGATAATTCCTTCAGACAGTATTGAATTCGCGTGTGAGGGTTTTCCTCATCAAATCCATGAAGACAATTCGAAAGAAGAGTTCATTCATTAGTTGTTAATGTTGAGCGATCATTTTGAAGAAGACCAAGTGGTAATAGCTATAGGAAAAGATGGAAAAAAAACATATGACCCCCAAAGAAAGTTCAACAAATAATATTACTCTTGGTAACTGAATCCGTTTGTCTGCTATCGTTTGTACTCGTTGGTTTTTCTTCGAAGCAGTGCTGGAATCAGGAAAATATTGAATTAGTTTTGGATCCATTCCTAATTTGAAACATTTCTTTAAACGACAAGGTGAACAGTAACTGCGTGCTCCTTTTGTTATAGGACAGTCGCTTTCAAATTGACAAAGTGATATAAGCTATTCAATTTGTTGAGAAAAAATTCTACATTTTCTTTATTAATATAGGTTAAACTTACTAATTTCTTATGTGCATGTCGACGAAAAAAAGATTTACAAGACATACACGAAATAATATTGAAATTATGACCACGCGCTACATCACCGCATATACGACAATCCCCAGAAGATTTAGATATTGTATCCGCTACTCTTTCTCTTCTTGTCATCATTAGGGAAAGAAAGTTTGAAAAGAATGTTGAGCTACTGAACGTACATTGTTATAGACAAATTCTTGCCGTGAAGTAGAAAAAAGCACCAGTAGAGGTTGAAAACAACATAGAAAAATTCAATTGCAGATTTACCACTTAAAGGCAGCAAAAAACAGATGTTTTTGGAAATTTGATTGCCGAAAAACTTTCTGGCAAAAATCGTTTTTAAAAATAAATAACCATTTTTTCCTAGGTAAGACGTTGTACTCTATCCAATCATGCGTAAATATCACGGAAAAAAATTTGCTATAATTTTAAATTGCGCACACCTTACTTACCTACCACGCGATTATTAACCCTAGACAATGACAACCAACAGAATAATAAAACAAACAAAATGAATATATATATCGATAAAAAACAACGTGCTTTCATACCTAATCAATGATGAGAACAAATAATAGATATATGCATTAGAAAAAATATTCTAAACACTAAGGATGGAAAATAATTTTGAACAACTTATTACTACACTTCAAACATCTTCATCATACAATGATTGTCTTTGTGAAATAAGATATATTTTAGAAAAACAAAATTCTGAATTATCATCATCATTTATTTCACAATTCTATCAATCAATACTCATCCTTGAACATTGGACAT